TGCTACCGGATGTAAACGGCAACCTTGCAATTCCGCGACTGGTGAATACCGAAGTACAACTTTCATAAAAAAGGTAAAATAATTCTCCGATAATTATCGATCTAAAACTTCGATAGTTAGGCAATCGGAGGATTTAAGGTTGGAACACCGTCCCTCGGGACGGTGGTTGGAACCACATCCAACAGACACGGATATTTTCAAATAATTGTCGAAGTATTAGAATGATACAATGGGCAACATTGTTTGATAATTCTCTGATAATTATCCGATAACATTATGTAAGATCCCGCCTTCACGGACTTTCGAGCATCATGGCCGGACTACACTACAGTTGAATTTCAAGTATTAACCCGCAGAACATCCTGGTTATATCAAGGTAGTAAAAGGTCACGCACGACTAGTCAGATTAAGTTTGACACAAGTATACTTTGTGTCGGAACATAGGGGTGTCGGAACGAAGTGGTGTCGGAACATAGATATGTCGGAACATAAAGCAGTCCCCACTTCTCAGACACCCCCCTGTTCGCGCAAGCGCGGACATTGGCCGCTTACGCGGACCCAAAAGTGTCTCCCTCACTTTTCAGAATGGATCGACGCCCCTGATAACACGTCAACAAAACATATTGGATCATCTATTTACTAACTGTGAAAGAGAATAGACAAGCAGATAGCTCCGCTGTTAGCATTGCACATTTCAATTAAATAACAGAAGATATCATTAGAAAATGAACAATATGTATAGTATCAAAGCAATGGGAGTTGCTGTTTTCAACAAGAATTCAAAAATATAATTTTTCACCATAAATGATTGTGTTTTTTAACAAGAAGTCGAAAATATCACTTTTTACCAAAAAATGACAAAAATATTCACCAAAACTAGAGAATTGAAGATATCATTACAAAATGAACAAATCTGAGAGAGGTCCACATGTAGTACCTATATATGTAATATCAAAGCAATTGGACTTGCGGTTTTTAACAAGAAGTTGAAAATATCACTTTTTACCAATAATGACAAAAATATTCACCAAAATTAGAGAATTGAAGATATCATTACAAAATGAACAAATCTGAGAGTGGTCCACATGTAGTACCTATATATGTAATATCAAAGCAATTGGACCTGCGCTTTTTAACAAGAAGTCGAAAATATCACTTTTTACCAAAAATGACAAAAATATTCACCAAAATTAGAGAATTGAAGATATCATTACAAAATGAACAAATCTGAGAGAGATCCACATTTAGTACCTGTATTTGTAATATCAAAGCAATTGAACTTGCGGTTTTT